CGTGCTTCGAGGAGCAATCCTCGAAGCACGAAGCTCCTCGAAGCACGAAGCTGAAAACACCAGCCTGAAGGTGATGAATGGGACTTCGTCGAAATGTTGCCAAGACACTTCCAATTTTACGCGGGAGAAAACCCGAATAACCAAAGACTTACATATGTGTGTGTGTGTGTGTGTGTGTGTGTATAACTCTATATTACTTGTGAGAAGATAGGAACTTGAGAGAAGCCCTAGTCCAGTTTGTCTCAACCTTAGCAATTTTAAGTCATGTGGACTTCAATTCCCAGAATTCCCCAGCCAGTATACGCAAGAGGTTTTAGTGTGAATCATTCAAAATCAGTTTGAGCAAACAGGCAGTTCTCTGCTTAGACTGCATAAACTGAAGAAATATCGTGGGATCGACTCAGCATGGTGTGATTTGAAATCCACTTCTAACTATTTCACAGTGGTTTTTGGCATCCCGAGAAGGGTGCTTTGGACCTGATATGGTTCCTTTTGTTGGCTGGGGAATTCTGGGAATTGAAGTCCACTCACCTTAAAAGTTGTCACGGTTGAGAAATTACTGCTCTAGTCAGCTGTAGGCCCTGAAGGCTAGCAAAGACATCACAAGGGATGTTTGTCCTGTTTACAATAATATGCGAAGAAAGGAAAGGAAAGGAAGAACTTGGACTGACAGATAGATAGAAATAAGAGTAATCGTTTTAGAAATCTACATACTCATAAACCTCTTTCAGGTACAACTGCAACCGCTACAACGAGGATGATGCCAAGGCAGCAAGGGATGCCCAGGAGGTGAGTTCGTCGCTCTTGGCAACCCTCTGCATCAGGAAGCTATTGAGACTGCTTGCTCCTCTCTCTCTTGTTGACCAGATGGAGCACATGGAGTAGGGTTAGCTTCCAGCCTTAAATCCATAACAAGTGGCCAGTTTATTCATTGCTTCCTGACGTCAGAGTTCCGGCTAATTTGTAAAACGAGGGCACACGATGAGCTTTCACGCTTTCACCCTTTCTTTCCTTGAAGCCGTTCTTCTTGAGATGTTTTGCTGTGGGTAGACTTCATACGCCCCTGGATGGTGTTGCTCTTTAGGTGGCTTCTTTCATTCTTTTACATTCTGGCTGCACACACCATCCTTCCTGCCTGGAAGACCTTCCTCTCCTGTGTCTTTGTGGAGAAACCAAGCTGTTAGACTCTTTAGTACTGTGAAAAAGGCCCGTTGTTGTTCCCATTTGTAGATCACCCAATCCGTAAGAACTCTCGGCATTTTATAGATCTTAAAACAGTGGTTCTCAACCTGTGGGTCGGGACCCCATTTGGGGTCGAACGACCATTTCATGGGGGTCGCCAAACCATGCTGTCCGCCATTTTTTTCCCTTTTCCCTAGCTGTCCTACTCCCTCTTATTGGTGGCCACACCCACTTGGGGGTCACCACAACATGGGGAACTGTATTATGGGGTCACGGCATTAGAAAGGTTGAGAACCACTGTCTTAAAACTTTTAATCTCGAAGGCTGTTTCTCTAGGCTGCCGAAAAGCTGGAAGTCTTCTTCAAGATTTGGGGCTACGCAGGGGTCACCTTTTTCCCCCCCCCCCATCCACTCGCGCGCCCGCCGTTTTTCAGCCACCCACAAAGAAATACACCCCTATCTAAATAAAATTTGGCCAGCGAGCAAGCAAGCTTGAAAATCTTTCTGAGTCTCTGTGACCTTATGAAATTTGAGCCGCTTAAGGTTATTTGAGTTAATTTGGATTTTGCTGGCAGGGGATGTTGTGTCGGGTGGTATTCCGGGCGGTGGGGGGTGGGGGATCAGATTTGGAGCTTCACCTGGAGAACTTGCTGAATGAGGCAAAGGCTGGGCCCCCTCTGCCCCTGTTTTGCCTTGGGCTCTCTCCTTCCCGCGGGGAGCCCCACAGGATTGCCCTGCTTTAATTCTCGCTTTTCCATCTCGCCTGATGGGGAATGAAACACAGCGCTCGAGAGCCGCCTTGCAGCGATACCTCTTCTACTGCAACCGTTACATGAACCACATGCAGAGCCTGCGCTTCGAGCACAAACTCTACGCCCAGGTCAAGCAGAAGATGGAGGAGATGCAGCAGCACAACATGTCCTGGATCGAGGTCCAGTTCCTGAAAAAAGCGGTCGACGTCCTCTGCCAGTGCCGTGCCACGCTCATGTACACCTACGTCTTTGCCTTCTACCTCAAAAAGAATAATCAATCCATTATCTTTGAGGTAAGAGGCCTGCCCGTGCCCTGGGAATCTCCCGGGATGCTCGGCAGTTCTGTCCACTGCTCTGGGATTTAGTTGGAGAATTGCAGCGCAGATCATACAGGTCCAGCCAGGGTCCTTGGTGCTCTCTGAGCTTGGTGGTTTTCTTGCGGACGTTTCCTTACCCAGACTAGGCAACCTCATCAGTGCTAGAAGAGAATAGGTTGGGAAGAGGAGGGAGAGGACTGTGGGCTTCTTGATGTTTTCCGAGCTTGGTTGTTGTTGTTTTTTGTTTTTGTTTTGCAGACCTTTCATTACCCAAACTAGGTAACCTCATCAGTGCTAGTCCTCCCTCTAGTCTAGCATAGTCAGAGAGCAGAGAAGCACTCCCAGTAACAGCTGCCTTCATAATATAATTGGAAGTGAATCCAGATTTCAGTGGTCGCATAGACTACAATATCATAATATATGCCACAGTACAGATACCACAACTCCTCCCTACCCCAGTCCATTAACACACAATGCCTTGAACCACAAACTTAAGAGCAATTGCATTTGAGGGGTCCTCTCTGAGCTTGATTTGTTGTTGTTGTTGTTGCTGTTGCAGACATTTCATTACCCAACTAGGTAACAAAGAGTTTTGGCACTGACGATGTTATTTAGTTGGGTCACGAAATGTCTGCAGGAAAATCACCAGGCTCAGAGCATCAAGAATCCCACAGTCGTCCTCCTCCTCCTCCTCTTTCTCCTCCTCCTCCCTTCTAGCACTGATGATGTTCCCTAGTTGGGTCATGAAACATCTGCAAGAAAATAGGGTCAGAGAGCACCAAGGATCCCAGAGTCTTTCTCCTCCTCCTCCTCCTCCTCCTTCATCTCCATCTCCATGCAAACCCCACTCCCTTCTAGCACTGATGATGTTCCCTAGTTGGGTCATGAAACGTCTGCAAGAAAACAGGCTCAGAGAGCACCAAGGACCCCTCAGTTCAACCCTGAGCTACAAATATTCTTCTTTATAGGTCCAGCAGGCAACTTTGTACAGGTAATCCTCGACTTAACAACCATTTCCTTTGGCGATGGTTTGAAATTACAATGGCACTGGTTATAAGTCAAGGACTTTCTGTATAACAAACCAAACCTTCTGAATCATGAGGGTGGGAGCTGTTCGGATTTCTGGGGCAGAGGGTGTTTCTCCCAGACAAAAGGCACCTGGACAGAGATGGCATCATTGATACTGTCTAGTCAAATGGATTTGAAGTGCTCTCAGACTGCCTGATTTTACTGGACAGGAAGAAAGTAGGTGGTTCCTCAAATAACCGGGCCTTTTATTTTCAACACTCTGTTAACGTAGTTCTGTTTTTATGCCAAGTATCTTAATCAGATTTAGGAAGACAGATGTTTCCTGATTTCTCTAGAGAAAAGCCCATAGGAGGGAAATACTTTAAGCTTTGAAGAGGTTCCAAAACCGCTCTAATGCCTGCCTGCTAATGGAAAATACTGAACTGACAAGAAGGTTTTTTTTTTTTAAAGAAAAAATTGCTATTCTGTTAAACTCAAAAGAATTACTTTAAGTTTTTATCAGAGTGTTTTGCCTTTTTAGAATAATCAAGCAGATTTGGAGAATGCTACCGAGGTCCTTTCTGGGTACCTGGAACGAGATATATCTCAAGATTCACTGCAGGATATAAAGCAGAAAGTGCAAGATAAATACAGGTAATCCTTGTTTCGGACAGTACGGCTCAAAATATTTATCACTCATCTTGAATTAAGCTACACAAAGGTTGGTTGGCAGGAAAACGTATTCCTCCTGCGGTCACTTTTGATCCAAGCAAATGTTCAAGACAGTTGAAGTGAAAGAAAACCCCAAACATGCAAAACAGAATTAAATTAACGGTTAAAACTTGGGCGAAAGAAGTCACGTTCCTCTCCTGACAGATGGCGGGCCCAGTTCAGCTTCTGAAGGATTGTATTCTATTAAGTCTGGAAGCTGATTGTGAAAATGGCTCCTCCGTTGTGCTGAATAAAGCACATTGCGAGGGCCTCGGCAGAAGGATCACTCCTGCAGGTCTTAATCGCTAGATGGGTTTGTAAAGCAGGGTCACCGCCTCTTAACTCGGTATTTCTCAACCGTGGCCACTTCCAAGACATGTGGACCACAACTCCCAGAATTCCCCAGCCAACATGGCTGGCTGGGGAATTGTGGAAGTTGAAGTCCACAAGTGTTAAAGTTGTCAAGCTTAGAGAACCCAGCACTCGAGCAAAATATGGCTGGCCAGGGGATTCTGGGAGTTGAAGTCCACACGTCTTAAAATAGTCACGGTTGAGATATACTGTTTGAACTGCACAGGGACAAGAATTATTTGCACACAACTGGCAAGGCCACCCCCCCCCCCTAGTTTCTCAACTCCACCCAAAGGCAAAACCTTGTTGCTCTTAAATGTATTAATGCCCGGAAATGTTTCCGCCTTGGCATCTAAAGGCTCTCGCCTCCCTTTTTCCTTGCAGATACTGCGAGAGTCGACGAAGGGTGTTATTGCAACATGTGCATGAAGGCTATGAAAAGGACCTGTGGGAATATATTGAGGACTGAAAAGTGGCCTGGATAAAACGAACTCTTAAAAGTCTCTTCCCATCTAGAGTGCTCATACCATTAAAACAAAACCCACCCACGCAGACACAGGAAAAAAAAAACAAGGGGCCACCCTGCCTATTAACACCGCTGGTCTATAGTACCGGAATTCTGTTTGTTTGTTTTTTTTTTCTTTTTGTTAATGGAAAAAAAAATTAAGTAAATTATATTGTAATAAAAAAAGGTAGATAAACCATTGTACAACAGTATTCTAGGTGGCCAGTAAGTGTGATAGGCGCACTAAAAAACAAAAACAGCCCGCCCGACTTTTAACTCGTAAGGTAGCTTCCTTCTCCAAGCTGACTTTTTCTCTCTCCTCCTCTGCATATTACCGATGAAATATAAAACAGTTTCTTGACACTGCTGTACATGTCCGGCCAGCCATTTTGATGTACTTTGGTATGAGATATTTTTTTCCCCTATGCCCCCCTTCCCCTTCCCTCCTGCCCCTCCCCACCCCTCCGTAACAAATACACACCAGTTCATGGGTGTTGAATGTTGTTTGGCTTATTGTAAAGATGATTTGGGGGGGGAAGGGAGGAGGGCAGGGGGAGGAAGGGGCACCAAACAAGGAAAAAACCACACACACACACACACACACACACACACAGAAAACCCTTTGTATATGACTTTTAAAAAAAACAAAAACGAAAAACAAAAGAGGAGAACACAGTATTTTTCAAAATTGTAAATAGCGCATATGCATGGATAAAAAGCAAGCGTGGCACGTGTTTGCATAATGTTTAATTACAAAAAAAAATATTTATTCTTTAAAAACCTTCAAGATGTCTATTTGCCGTGCATTTTTTTTCTTTTTCTTCCCCCCCCCCCAGTTTGCTTTTTAATTTGGAGAGGGGAAATAGGGAGGGGGCAGTGTGTGCTGCTGTAAAGAACTCATTCTCTGGCTCAAACAAGATAAATAGATAGGGGGTGTTTTTTTGGTGGGGGGGTTGTTCCTCTTCTTCCGCCCCCTCCTTGCAACCAGTTGATCCCTTGTTCGGGTGTGTTCCTTGCTGGCAACGGACACCGTCCCTTGGGCACTTCCAGCTTTCTTGGTGTGCGTTTCCCATTTGGAAATCAAAGTGTTGTATAATTCCGGCTGCCTTTTTTTTCTTTCGGCTTCGAACGGCCCCATTTCTCCCCCCCCCCCCGGACCTCGGCCATTTGCCCGTGCAAAAAATCCAATATCTTATTCTGCAACTGGCTCTTCATTCATTCATAGGAAGCTTTGGGCATGTTGGGTTAAAGTGTCTGCGGAACATTCCTTGTTAACGTGTTCAATTTTGGAAAGGATGGGGGCTGCTGGGAAAAACTGTGATTGTTGGCGTGGAAAAAGTGCCTGATGCAGCAAACACTCCCATCTAGTTGCAAGAGTCTGTAGCGGGGTTTCTGAACCTCAGGAATGTTAAAGAGAAGTGGACTTCAATTCCCAGAATTCTGGGACTTGAAGTTCACACCTCTTACCGTCGCTGAGGTGAAAAACTTTCTGGAGCCATTGGGTGTTTTTTTTTTTTTTTTCCTGAATGAGGACTAAATCATGAATATCATACGATACATTTATAGTCTCATATTTTTTTGTAATAAAAGTTATCTTCAAGCACCGTTTGGAAGCTGTTTATTACTGTATTGGAGCTTCTTGTAGTGAGTTTTCCCAGCCCACTTATATGGCAGTATTTCTACTTTCAAATTTAGGGATGGGTGGGTGGGGGGAGGAGGCTGGATGTACCCAAAAGTCTAGCTCAGGGGTCTTCAAACCTGGCCCTTTGGTGACTTGTGGACTTCAATTCCCAGAATTCCTCAGCCAGGCACGCTGGCGGAGGAATTTTGGAAGTCTACAAGTCATCAAAGGGCCATGTTTGAAGACCCCTGGTCTAGCTTATTTCCTAAAGGGCTGCTTTCTCCCCTCTTTTTTTTAAAGAAACTATTGTTAAGTTTCCAAGGATTTGTTCAGCTAATTCCATGCGTGCCTGTGACACTTGTAGTTGTGTGTTAGGGACAGCCCGCTCGCCTACCCCCTGGCAAATTATTTCTATAGTTGCAGGAGGTGTAGGGTTGAGAGACTCCGTTCCCCTGTTTTGGCAGCTCAGCTTTGCATCTGATGAGACTCAAGACCTGGTTTTGGTTTACCTGGAGAGTAAACCAAATCATCTCCTTCAGAATAAGGGAGGGGGAGAGAGAGAGAAAGTTGTTTTTGCTTCGTGACTTCCTACTTGGAATGAAAGTTTGGAATTGGTCAACGGTTTTGGAAAGATGCAACTAATCCTTTCCAGAATGTGTGCATTCAAGGGCAGCACGCCTGTTGCTTGAACGGTGAGGTTTCCTGCCATTCTCCCGGCTTCATCTTTGCATGCTCCCAATAAGACATGACAAAGTGCTTCCAATCCAGTTAAGTGCGGGTGTGTGTGCGTTTTGTGTTGATATATATATATTTTTTAAACCGGCCCTGCTTGGAACGAGGTTGATGGAACAAGTGGTCCGTTCCTTGGAGGGCCTCATGGAATAAACCCATTCTGTTCCCTGGGTGCGTCTCACGTTCGGCTCTTTTTCTCAATATTTTGCCATTGCTCCTGTATTATTAAACAATATTGTTAGTTTTTAACAAAATGTATATAGAAGCATTGTATCGCTGCATCTTCTACTTCAGGAGCTCATACCCTGTGTGTTCATGTGGGGTCAGGAGGGGAGCATCTTAAAATTGGGATTTGCAAATCATTTAAATCAGTATTTTTTCAACTGTAGCAACTTAAAGATGGGGGCTGGGGAATTCTGGGAGTTGAAGTCCCCTCATCTTCAAGTTGCTGAGAAACACTGTTATATAGGCTTACCTCTAGACCTATACTCCTTCCTTGCTTTCCTATCCTTTAGAAAACAAAGCAAATAGTATCTTTTTTTTTTTAAAGGAAATTTTCGGCTACTTTTAAACCTTGGTTGGTGCAATCTATGGAAATTATGGCTTGTGCTGCCATAACTATGGACAGATGGAGTGAGGGACCTCTAAGACACGTCAGACGGGTGATCCTGGCTTTTATCTCACGCTCATTCTACCTTATTGAAGTGGCTGCCTTTGGGTTTTATCGCTAGTGTTATGTATCAAAACTGTCTTTTAAGTTTTCAGAACCATTTAACTCAAGGGTCGTAGTACAACTGCTGTATTAGAAATCATTTATTGTGTGAGACAAAGAGTAGTGTTCTTTGGCAAACTCCCATGTATAGAGGGCTCCTGTAATCCAGCATATAAGAGAGATGGTTAAGATGAGCGGACTGGGCTATGACCGAAGGCTTGTAAGTTTCTTTTTTATTTTCTTTCTTTTTCTTTCTTTTTTTCTTCCCTCCATCTTAAAAGAGCACCTCATGCTGTGGAATTAACTGTTCTTAGACTTCATTGTAACTGGCGGACTGTTCCATGTTAAGGCTAATCAGAGGGAGAAACTGCGTTCCTAATTCTAATAAACTTTTATTTTGTTATTTCATTTGTAATTTTTTTTTTTGAGTGTTCTCTTGCAGTGATTTTGCATCTTCTTTACACCTTAGGGGAAACACCTTGGGCAAGTCAACAGCTGGAAAACACCAGCCAGATGTTAGTCCTGGTTGTGATGTATAGCTTTTCAGATGCAGCCTAATCTGCCTTTTGCCGTAAGCCCAAAGTCACATCACTTCCTCTGTCTTAACGTGATTTTGGTAGCCCCCCCCCCCCCCGCCATATGAAATTCAGAATAACATATCTGACTTTTCCTTTAGTATTACTACAATCTTGACTAAACCAGTGTTTCTTCCAGGGGTTCTAAAAGACCCAAAGAATCCTCTTTACTCGGGGAGGGGGGAGGCAGAATTATTTGCCAGTCTGTGTTGAAAAATAAACCAGTATTAAAATCCCATCAAACAATTGTGAAAAGTTGGTGGCAAATGTATCCGTTTTAATTTTTAATATAGTAAATATTGACAGATAACAACCCGTACAGACACACTTTTTGGGTCCTGTATAATTTTAAAAGTTGTAGTGCAGCGGTTCTCAACCTATGGGTCGCGACCCCATTTGGGGTCAATCGACCACTTTTCGGGGGTTGCCAAAGGCGGCGATCCGCCATTTTGTCCCCTCCGAGGGCACCGCCGCGCATGCGCATGCACACCGCGCATGCACACCGCGCATGCACACCGCGCATGCACACCGCGCATGGGGCGCCACGCCTCCAGGAGGGCTGTCACGCATGCGCGCCGCGTGGGGGGTGCCGCGCATGCGCGCCGCGCACCGGGGGCCCCACCCCATGCGCGCCGCGCATGCGCATAGCGTTTGTGTGACGGGGGTCACCGTCACACAAACGTTGAGAAACGCTGTTGTAGTGGGTCCTAAGAGGGGAAAAAAAAAAATCAAACAGCAAGCCAGACAAAAATTAGCCCAAGCTTTGATCAGTGCCCTTCAGACAATGATGGAACAGAAGTTTCAGCAATTAAATCATTACAATACAGCTTATGGCTTCATTTTATACATTTTATTATTTATACATCAGAACTTCTTGCTCTTAAGATTTTGCCTCTAGAGTGAGGCAACAAGTAACTTAGTTACCCTTGTCTAAAATCTCTTCCCTGCAAAACCTGTTGTAAACAACTCTATGCAAAGCCAGCCCGACCTATAACAACCCTCCAGTGACTTTGGGTGGGAAAAAAATCTAATGACTAACAATGTGAAGTCCGCTTGTTGCAAGTTCAGAAAACTTATATTTTCTAGCTGTCACCACCTAAGAGGAATTCTCAAAGCCCATAAAATCTTTTACACCAGCACTGAAAGAATCTGAAGATCCCAGTGAATCAGGTCAGTGTTCAGTGAAAAGACCTGGATTCTTAACTTCTCTTGTGTTCTGCTGTAATGGTGTTCAAGTTTAAAAGCTGCACTTGAATATTTTTAATTTTCAACAGCTAGCAAATTTAACCTTGCCAACGTGCTCCATATTGTCCAGGCCTGTTCCCATAGAAACGGCAGCATTTTCTTGTGCTGATCAGAATATTGTTTTCACCTTCCTTACACATTTGAACATTTTTAATCACTTTATTAAATGTTAAACTCAAGTACAATTTTGCAGTGGGTGTGTTGAACACGAGCCGCTGAACAACACAACCAGGCTAATTTTTTTTTTACTCCTCCCCCTTTTTTTAACAGCGATTACGTAATGGTAATCTTCTATTATTTACATTTCTCCCCCTTATTCTTCTTTAGAATATTTGTCCTTATTGCCCCGTAGTTTCTTATTTACATTTTTCTTCCTTCATACTCCTTACTAAGAATAATTCATATTATTATTATTATACCTTATTATACACATATTTTCACTTTTGACCTTTCCATATTTATTCTCCTCTATTATTTCTAGTCTCCCACCAGTCATACCACTTGTTCTATGTTAGATAGTACTCTGTGTCTTCCTTTTCTTTTATCTCTTTTGTTAATTTGTCCATCTCAGCACAGTCCAGGATTTTTCTTATCACTTCTTCTTCTGATGGTATATTCTCATTTTTCCAGCACTGTGCATATGCTATTCTTGCCGCCGTTATTATATGTAAAATTAAGTGCCATATTTCTTTACTATATTTTCTGTTTAAAATACCCAGCAAAAAGATCTCTGGTTTCCAGTCTACGGGTTGGTTTATTATTTCTTCAATTCATCTTCTTATTGTAGTCCAATATTTTTTCGCAACTGGGCATGTCCACCATAAATGATATGTTCCATGTACTTTTTTACATTTCCAGCATACAACCAAACTAATTAATACTCATTGTAGCAGAGAGTTTTTCCTGCATCCTGGGTAAATAAGTTTCATTAAATTCTGCTTAAGGATGGAGGTTTAAAATTAAACCTAGGGGAATAGAGGTTAAGTATGGAGGAAGAGATTGAGCACTTCATCCTAGTTACGCAAGCTCTCCTTTGAACTGTGGCCTACTTAAAGCTTAAATGACGTCAACATATTGAGAGCTATAAATTTTTGCCCGACTGCCAGGATGCTTAATTGCTGGGCATCCTAAGGAATAAACCTGAATGGCTTGTTCAGCTTCATTGAACTTGCTGTTTTAACTTTTATACCAGACTATGCAAACCCACACGAAAGGGCCATGTAAGACAGACTTTCTCAATCCGGGAAACTGGGTAGACTTGGACCACAGTTCCCCAGTTGGCATGCATGCATTCATCTTAAAGTTGCTGAGGTTGAGAAATACGGCCCTAATTGGATATGGCACTACCTGGACACAGCAGAATAGAGAAGAAAGAATAGAAAATAGAAATTGAGCGACTGCGGCAAAAGAGAGCGAAGATAATACCAATAGTCATAGGTGCTTTGGGTGCAATCCCCAAACACCTGGAGCACCACTTGACCACCATCAGCACAGACAAGATCATCATCGGTCAACTGCAAAAGGCAGCTTTACTTGGAACAGCTTATATCAGGGGTCTTCCAACTTGGCCCTGTTATGACTTGTGGACTTCAACTTCCAGAATTCCTCAGCCAATGTGGTTGAGGAATTCTGGGAGTTGAAGTCCACAAGTCATAAAAGGGCCAAGTTGGAAGACCCCTGGCTTATATCCTCAGATGAGACCTTTAACACCATCAAACATGCACATCTGCCTATCCCAGGTCCTTGGGAAGGACTCGGTAGGTGGATAAAAATATACCAAATCCAGACTAAACACCTAGTTGACTTCAATCAAACATAAAAAAAAAAGCCCTCCAGACGGAGTGATCTCCAAAAAGGGCTATTCTAAGACTTTTCAGGGTGAAAAAATTAGAAAACCGGCTCCATAAGAATTAAACACTGTTGAGAAAGACTGTTAGTTGTGCAGCTCAACCTCAGCAACTTTAAAGATACGGATTTCAACTCCCGATTTACCGGTTGCGGAATTCTGGGAGTTGAAGCCCACCTATCTCAAAAGTTGCCAAGTGTGCAAAAGTGATATATAAGGGCATCCCAATGTTAGCGGCTTTAGCAGCTCTTTGCAGAAATCTGGAAATCCCAGTGCAATTTTTAATAAAAGTATTTAAAAAAAAAAAAAAAGCAACACCGCTGGAATATGCAAGGATTTTAGACCGCCCTGGTGGAGCCATAAAAATGCAAAATAAGCCACAGAGGAAAACTCAGTCCCTCAAACTAGCAGGATCCCAAAAAAAGGGCAAGGCAAATGATTTCTATCTGCAAGGCAGATTCTTGATAATTTATTTCTTCCCCCCCCCTCTGGCTCTTTAAAATAGTTCGCTCCCCGCTTATTGTCGCGGGCCACCAATCTCGGTGGGCGAGTCTAAGTGTCAAAAATGGGGGGGGGAGAGAATCTGAAGAAGCCAGCCAAATTCTGGAACCTCATCCCTTCCTCGAGCCCTCCCTAATCCCGGCCGAGTCTCGTGACGTCACTTCCGTTCTCTCCACACGACGCCACAGCCCGCTTCAGGGTTGGAGTTTAGAGGGACCGGAAGCTCTGTTACCGTGGCAACAAGATACCCGGGCGCCCTTTCCGTCGATTACTTCCGGGGTGGCTGGTCACCTAGGCAACGGACAGCTGGCGGAGGCTTGCTGGGAGCTGAGGCGCCATGGCGGAGGTGACGGCTCGGCCGGTGAGCGGGACTTCCCACCTGTTGCGCCTCTTTCCCCTTCTGAGAGCCGAGGGAGGGCCCTGGAGGGACGGGACCCTTCTGGCCAGGCCTTCCGTGGCCTCGTGGCGCTTCGCCCTTCCTCCCACCGTCTTCTTGGGGTGCCTCACCCACCAGGCCCGGCCCTGCTGGGGTCGGGGTGGTTCTGGGTCGGTGGGAACCCAAACAGTTGTGGTTTACAATAGAATAACAGAATTGGAAGGGACCTCGGAGGTCTTCTAGTCCAACCCCCTGCTTAGGCTTCTTAGCTATGGACCATGGTTTAGTGGCCTGTTGTGCCAGGTCGGCCCATTGTGGCTTGTCCAGCAAACCGTGGTTAGGCAGATTAGGGCTTATGTGGGGTGCAGTAAGCCGGGGGAGGGGGGATTTTATGGATTTTATGGTTGCTGGAACTGTAACTAGCTGGAAGCTCCCCACCTGGACAAATTCCCTCCCTTTTTTTTTATTGAAAAGTTTTATAAAAGTTACAATATACACCCCAAAGCCCACCCACCCTAACCCCCCCTCTCCCACCCCCACCCCCCAGAGCTGAGTACAGGGTTACAAACATAATAATCATACTCTAACTAACATTAACCAACTATATAAATAACCAAGTCCATAATGCGCTTTAACTCCCCCTTAACATAAATATAAACAAATTAAAAGTAAACATAATAATATAAACAAGTTAATATCCTAATTATTAAACAATACAATATCCAAATTGTTAAACAATACTAATACTAATAATAATAATAAAACTAATAAAAATTCTACTATAATAAACTATTAATAATAATAATACTCTAAAATTTACTCATAAACTAGATGGAATTTTTTAGTCCCATATTTATTCTGAATATAATCTATCCATCTTCTCCAGAGACAAATTCCCTCCCTTGAAGGCCTTTCTATGTAAAAAGGGATACAGCTATTCCTTGACTTCCAACCGTCCATTTAGTGACTGTTCAAAGTTACAACGGCACTGAAAAAAGTGAGTCATGACCCTTTTTCACCCTTAACGACCGTTGCAGCATCCCCGTTGGTCACGTGACCAAAATTCAGATGCTCGGCAACCGGCTCATATTTATGACAGTTTGCATTGTCCCAGGATCATGTGATCACCTCTTGTGACTTTCTGACAAAGTCAATGGGGAAGCCAGATTCACTTAACAGCCCTGTTACTAACTTAACTGCACCGGTTCATTTAGCAACAGTGGCAAGAAAGGTCGTGAAATGGGGCAAAACTGACTTAACACACGTCTTGCTTAACAACATAAATTTTGGGCTCAGTTGTGGCCGTAAGCCAAGGATTACCTGTACGGTCAGAATAATGGAGGGACGAAAAGCAGAGCCAAGGGTCCATGGGGGAAAAGTTGTGGTTATTTTACTTATATTGTACGTTGTTAGGTTTAGTCATGAAATGTGATAACTGAAAAGTCATGCCTTCATAGCAAAGGTGGACTTTGGGGCAGATACCCGAAAAGAAGCATGAACCTTAGCAGCCTCTAGAAATTTTGCAACTTTTGTAGTTTCCTGAAGCCCACTGGCCATCTGAGTAGATTTTGGTAATTCACCGAAGGACTATGGCAGTGGTGGCAAACCTAAGGTATGTGTGGCAACTGTCCCTCTTCAACCAGCTGCCTGCTAACTTGCCGAGGTCCCACGTAGCCAGATGCATTCCAGCATGGCTAGTTTCCCTCCCTCCCATCCCCTCCCTCCTGGCCTCACATGCTCTCCTTTTCCTGGGCAGGACCCACGGCAGGCATCACCTCCTCAGCTGTCGGCCAGCCAGCCAGCTCAGAGGCGGCTTCTCTGAACTGCTGGGGGCAGGCTGTGGAGCCTCAGAGTGCGCTGGTTGAGGGGTTGGCAGGCTGTGGCTGCTGATAGATACTGTTGGCCCCCATGTGCTCACTGGCCTCTGTGTGTGGGGGCCGATGGTGTCAGGCAGCAGCCGCCCCGGCCCTTGCTTTGCCTTGCCCTGCAACAATGGCACCCCCGCCCTGCCTCGCCTTGCCTCGCCTCACCCCACAGGATGAGCCTCCTGCCCACCGCCCCACCTGCCAGAGACCCCCTGGATCTCTCCCAACCCTGCCCAGCCCCCACAGGTGTCCCTCCCCATGAGCAACATAGAGGTGACCACGCCCACCTTGGCCACACCCATCTAGTCTGTCATGACCACCGTAGCCACGCCCGCCCTGTGAGCCACGCCCACCCTGTGGGCCACGCCCACCTGGCTCCTGGCTCCAACACTGGAAGTTTTTAAGAAGAGACTGGAGAGCCATTTGTCCGAAATGGTGTAGGGTTTCCTGCCTGAGCAGGGGGTTGGACTAGATGACCTCCAAGGTTCCTTCCAACTTTACTACTATTACTAATAAATAAGTGGGTTTTGGGTTGCAGTTTGGGCACTTGGTCTCTAAAAGGTTCGCCATCACGGGACTGTGGTATTTTACATTGGCATGCTGTATTGATTTTCCACATCTGAGATCTTTTACTAGTTCCTGTTTGGCTGAACAAGTTGTGTGTGTGTTTTTTTTTAAAAGAGCCACAGCCTAAGTTTGTAATCTAAAAGGCAGTGTGTAAGAATAAAAAGAAGGAAACAGGAGAAAAATAAGCATATTATGCTCTGACGTTTTATAAGGTGGAATAATAAGACGATGATATAAAGTGAAAAAGACATAGAGTGGGCCATGAGAAGGAAAAGTATAGACCTCAGATACCATTTCTAAATTTTACATAATTTTCCGTTTTTCCCACTATCTGATGTAATGGTTGCTGGATAATCACCCAAAAATGCTAACAAAAAATCAGTGGCTTTCCTATTGTAGTACCCAGAAGGGTGGTGATAATCTTTTTATTGTTTCTCTGTGCTCAGTTCTGTAAAACAGAATTTTTAAAAAAATCTTCCTTCCCTCCCTCCCTCAGTAGTGTTTCAAAAAATATACTGCTCAAAAAAATAAATTTTTTTGAGCGGTATATAATATTGTAATCCATTCTACAGTTTTAGAAGTTTTACATTTCACTCTGTTGTGAATAAAATCCAGGCCTTATTAAAGACAAGATCACACACACACACAAAATCATCTGTACCTTTGCAGATTTTAAACTATGCTTTCTGTTTATGGCAACCTGGTTTAATAAGGAATTTGTTAAAATATTTTTTTAGTATTTCTCTTCAAAAGACATGACTCATGGATGTGCCTTTTTTTCTTTTGATGATCACAGTTGGAGAGTGTACTTAAAATCTTGGTTCTTTATGAACACGTTCCAGGATTTTTAATAGTTCTTTTAATAAAAGCTCTAGCACAGCATGCTGTCTTTGGCAAAAGAATTACAATGTAGGAGCCAACTGATTATCTATTCTGCTTGACTATATTTGGTGCTACAATAGGAAAGTTTGACGTTTTAATTGGAGTAAGATTTTTAGACTGAATTTTTCACCGGAACGCCATTCTCATTCAGCACAGTTAACTCTGCATCTCAAGGTATTATGGAAAAAGCTTCAAACTGGTTTTAAAAATCTCTCTGTTCATTTGTTCTGTACTATCTTTGAGTGCTGTTAAAGTTGGAAGTGCTTAACAGCAATGATTCTAAAAAACCTGAAATTTAAATATAAAGATTTCTCTCTGAGCAGTGAAGCACAGGGGCTATAAGAAATCAAAGCAACAGTTTACCTAAACAAAGCTTATTCTTGTTTCCAGAGTTCTATCCAACAGTTTATCTAAACAAAGCTTATTCTTGTTTCCAGAGTTCTATCCTTTTGTGTGAATTCTAAACTATTTTGAAATTGTCTGTCTGTCTTTCTGTCTATATCAGGGGTAGGCAACCTCGGCTCTTTTATGACTCATGGACTTCAACTCCCAGAATTGGAGTTGAAGTCCATGAGTCATAAAAGAGCCGAGATTGCCTACCCCTGCCCTAGTCTATATCCAGTGCTTTTTTTTTCTAAAAAAAAAGGTGCCGGAATTCATATGTCATACAACCCGCCTTGCCTACCCTACAAGGTTCCATCCAGAAAAGGTGCTGGAATTCCGTTCTGGGCGTTCTATGAGAAAAAAAGCCCTGTCTATATCAATCAATATCAATCAATCAATCATTAAGTTAATCACCAATGAATATATCTTGTAAAACAGGATCAAACCATAGCGGCATATAAAGCCTTACAAAACTTCACATTTTAGAATAATCTGGGAAACATCCTTTAAATGTTTACTATTGGTTATAGATTTTTATCCCATTCTTTTTATACATAATTCAAGGAAGTGAACATTCATACTATTCAGGCCCCTTTTTCCTCCAACAAGAATACTCCTGTGAGGTCGGCTATACTGACAGTGAGTGACTGGCTTTCATGCCTAAGGCAGGACTAGAATTCACAGTCTCCTGATGTTATGCTAGCATCTTACCCACCACACCAAACTAGGCCTCTAGAGAATCTTAAAAGAAAGATGGAGTTGCTGTCAGCTAAAATCATCCAGGAAAAATAATGTCATAAGCAGCGAAACCCAACTGAAACAGCCCTGCTATGGGGTCCTCAGCAAGAAATCCACATGAAGGCATCTAAACAGAATCTCAGGCACCCAGCAAGTTGGTGGGAGAATTGTAAATGTAGGCCCCGTTTCCTTTTTACATTCATGTGCAAGGATGAACTTTTCTTTGAAGAGAATCCATCCACTCCCTCAACTGCCTACTTTTAAGACTGCCTTAAGGTGCTGTCTCAAACAAAACAGGATTTTGCTGGAAGTCAGTCTTTGTAGACCACAAATACCTTTGGAGTACTTGAAGTTGCTTTTGTGGTTGACAAGGTGTATTCCATATAACTGGGTTTTTATTAGGTAAACGTATATATCACCTAGAAACGTAGCTGATGGAGCCTCTGTTGTTTGACATGGGGGTAGAGAGTGGGGCTTATTTACTGGAAGTTCAGGGCTAAGGCTAAATCAGTGGAAAAGAAAAAAAATACTTTCCTATTTGCTTTGTTCTCTTGATTTAGTGACGTCGCTGCCTATGATTAATGCCACTATTTCTTCTCGAAATGGCCATGTTTCAGCTGAATGCTGAGTCTACAAAGGAAGACTGGCTCACAGAGAGATTAGCGACTTTTTTATGCTTTGCTTTGAACCTAATCAGCAGTTCTGCCCCTTCTTATCCCTGGTGTATCTTCAGCCTTCGGAGGAGAACAGAAGAGGTTTAAAAAGCAATATGTACTTGCTAAAAAGGGGCGACTCAGCATCTTACACTGTTCTTAAGATGTGTGTATACATTCCCAATTTCCAAAAGGGTAGCTGAATTAAGTTGTTGCAGCAAAAACAAGGAAGTATCTGAAGGCACCTTAATGTCTAATGATTATATTGTGTGATGATATATACAAGATGTTGTTCTGAGTATAGATGATTGATAGGAAGGGGAAGAACTGTAACCAATGAAATCAGAGTGAATGAAATGCAGGAAATATTGGCTGTGACAATTACCTTCTTAATTAAGTAATTATCACTCCCTGTGTTGTCTGCATTTCATTTATCTGATCTCATTTTTATCCTCCTTGATGAGTGTTTATAGAAACCTAGAATGACACTTTGTATATTTAATTAAATAGTTGGCAGTTGATTTAGCTGCTCTACATTTATAAATTTCACAAGGAACTTGGTTGTGTGTGTATTTATGAATGTGTGTGTGTGTGTGTGCCGGAGACAAATTCCTTGTGTATCCAATCACACTTGGCCAATAAAGAATCCTATCCATTATTCTAGTCTAGTCTATCTAGTCTAGTCCAGTCCATATATGCATACACACAAACACACACAGACAGACACTAAAGCAGAAATGACTTCTATTCTCCACAATAAAAAAAAACAACTTTTCAGGGTTTTTTTTTTCATACCATTGCTGTTGGCAGCCACCAGGCAAGTAAGAACAGTATTTCACATTTAAAAACTCTGCATCTCACAATGTTCAGATTTCATAATAACAGAGGGAAGATAGCAAGCAGAAGAGAAGGGAATTAAACTATTATATTGCTAATGCTAGCTAATCTGTTAATACCCAGCTGATTATCAGCAATTTTTTTGTTAATAAAATACCTTCCCTCTAAGAATATAGTTGTGTTTGGAAGGGGAGTTATTTTGAAAAAAGGAAACATAAAAGTGGTAAGATGGCAAAATTGGATACAATTTGTAGCATAGTTCAGTTACTGTAGTTCAAAGAGTTTCCATCTCCCAGAAACAAAATTCAAATCTGGAAGATTTAGAATAGACAAGATAAAATATAGAATGCCATTTGTGTTTTGAATTCGCAAGAGTGAAAGAGGGGCTTTGAGTTAAATAACTTTTAAAAAGCATCAGAATTCAAGTATAATAGCTAAATCGAACCTTTGTGTCCAGAGGCAGTAGTAGTACAATACATTTGAATTCTCAGTTGTAACAAAAAATAATCCCGAGAATGGGCTGTTGGCTTTTCTCCTCTTTAAACCTGGAACTCAAGGAGTGTGAATGAGGTGATTTCTTTTTAAGTTTTTAATTCTGACATTTTCTACTTTTTTATATTATTTCAGACTGCATCAGCAGCAGCAGAACTTCCCAGAGCCAGATCAGGAAGAGGTTTGTTCTGATTTATATCTCTGTAGTTATTTTAGCCATTTTAACTACGATCTCCAAAGTATTCACTTGTCAGCATGTGCAGAAAACACTTCCCTTTAATTTAATTTAATCTTGCCCCACCTTTTAAGACTAGAGGTCCCTTCCAGCCCTCGGATTCTATCATTCTGCCCCACCCTTGGAGACTTTCCCAGTCATCTGATGGGCAGTTCTGTTGAGTGCTTAATTCAAGCTTGATTCTGCGATGATAATTGGGTGAGGCAAAATGTTGTCACTTCTTCTCCTTTATTATGACGGTGAGCTCCCAGTCAGAGCCTGGTTTAGGACAGCCCACTCCCTTTTGGAGAGAGGACAACAGATAGATTTCCTGCATAGCTGCTTGGACCAGTTTGCACGGCCTGTTGTCAATAAAATCACTCAGATTTGCCAGTCTCTTAACTCTTTACGGCAGTGGTTCTCAACCTTTTTAATGCCGCGACCCCCAACCGGTCGTAAGTCGAGGACTACTCAACCGGTCGTAAGTCGAGGACTACTCAACTGGTGCAGCACCGTTTGCAGAATGGGACTTTTGGCGGGCTCAGCAGGGCAGAGACAGCCTGGACAATTCCTATTGGCTTTTGAAAGCCAATAGAATTAGACTCTATTCAAGAGAGTCTATTCTATTGGCTTTCAAAAGCCAATAGAATAAAAGGGAGTAGCACAGCTAAGGAAAAGGGGGAAAAAATGGCGGACTGCGTTGTTTGGAGACCCCCGTGAAATGGTCGTTTGACCCCAAATGGGGTCCCGACCCACAGGTTGAGAACCACTGATTTACGGGCAGAATCCGATGCGATCCCAGGATTTGGTTCTCTCCTTTTTGCTGTTTAACATTTAAAAGAAGCCACTAGGAAAGGTAATCTGTACTTAATTTGGAATAAAATATGTGGGAACTTCCACATAGCACCTCCCCCCCGTATATATCCTCTAATAATGACAGAGATGTATAGCTTTGGTTTCACATATCTTATTCAGAATATTGCTTATATAAATGAGTGAGGTGGAGCTGGGGGTTGATCATTTAATCTCAGAATACCTAGCCGTATGATTCTGAACTATTTAACCCTTGGTTTTGTGGGTTAATCCTTTTTTTTTATTAAAAGTTTTATAAATTTATTACAATATAAACCCCCCACCCCATCCTCCCTCCCCCACTTCCCAGAGCTGATTACAGGGTAAAATAAAATAATAAACAAATGTAATCCAACTAACATAAACCAACTATACTATCAATCAAAACCATAAGATACTTTAACTCCTTCTCAATACAAATACTAACAAATTAAGTCAAAAATAATAATATAATTAAAACTATTAATAATTATCTAAAATCTACTCAAAAGCAAGATAATACTTTTCAACTTCATATTTCTTCTGAATATAATCAATCCATCTTCTCCAAACCATAATATATCTTTCTTGTGAATGGTCCTTCAAATAGGCGGAGATCTTCACCATATCTGCTAAATTAGACACTTTAAGTATCCATTCTTCCAAAGTAGGCAACACATTTTTCTTCCAATATTGCCCCACCAATAATCTTGCAGGTTTTGTGGGTTAATCTTAATATGTGGTATTTTGGTTGTCATTGCTGGTACGGTTTTACAGCCATTTATCCACTGAAATCCTTAACTTTAAAGGTCTTGCATTACTCACAGTGCTGATGTTACCTAATTGCCCTTCCAGTATATTAAAGATGATTTTTTAAAAATGAAGAATTTACTAAGTCTCCTAATTAGATGGGTTTACTGAGTGATATAATGCAGTACTGCCTGTTTTATCCCTTCATAATGTATCACCTCAGAAGAGCTGGCAGGGTCATTTATTCGTTTGAAGCTCAATAACTTGCCTTATGCACTGTTTCCAAGCAGGCAAAGAAGAACGGAGGAAAGCTCTCTTTCTGGAATTTATGAGTAATGCAAAGGCGGTTGAGTATTAAGAATAAACTTCCTCCCTTTAAAATAATTTAAATCAGATGTAGTAGGGGGAGAAAAAAAGGATCCGGCTGTTATAACGTTTTGAAGCTTAGCAGCAGCAAGAGCAAATAACTGTGGCTGAAATAGTTTACTGGAAACTGTACTGGTTGGAAGTAAACTTGGGAAATTTACCAGTCCACTCTATCTTCTGGGCATTTGTGGCCTAGAATTTAACTGTAACCAACTTCTGTAAAGCTTCGGATCACTTGGAGTCCATTTTTCCTTGCTTTAAGCCATCCTGTACTTCGACGGCCATAGTCAGCCAGTTTCCAATAAGCAATGGAGGAAGCTGGGTCTGCTTAAACACCGCGTGATTCAGTTAATTTCAGTGATTCACTGAACAATCGTGGGGGGGGAAAGATCATAAAATCGGGTGCCGCTCACTTAAGAACTCCAGAAGCTGTGAATGATCCAACGTTGGAAGTTTTTAAGAAGAGACTGGACAGCCATTTGTCTGAAATGGGATAGGGCCGTGGTGGCGAAGCTATGGCATGCGTGCCACAGGTGGCACACAGAGCCCTCTCTACCCACGCCATCGCTCCAGTCCTTCAGCTGGGTTTTATAAAACCTTTTTTGCTTTAGGCCTCTGCCGCCATGTGCAAAAAAAAAAAGGTTCAATCAATCAATTTCAACTTCTCGTGGGGAAAAAAATGATCTCGCAAAGTTGGAATTGATTGATTGAACTTTTTAGTCCCACCCAGTCTGCCGTTATCACCGTAGTCACACCCACCCATTGGGCCACACCCACCTGGCACTCGACGATGCATAAGTGGGTTTTGGGTTGCAGTTTGGGCACTCGGTCTCTGAAAGGTTCACCATCACAGGTATAGGGTTTCTTGCCTGAGCAGGGGGTTGGACTAGATGACCTCTAAGGTACCTTCTGACATCATCATCATCTCCATCATCATCAGCAGCATCATCATTATTATGGATCATCGCACAGTCAGCCAGATGTTCAGACTGGATTTGGCATTTTGTCTACCTATCGAGTCCTTACCCAGGACCTGGGATAGGAGATGTGGATGTTTGATGGTATTACAGATATCGTCGCAGGATGGAAGCGGTTCCTAGTAAGGCCGCCTTTTGCAATTGACTAATAGCGAATTTGTCAATGCCAATGGTGTTCAAGTGGTGCTCCAGTTGTTTTGGGATTGCACCCAAGGCGCCTATGACTATTGGTACTACCCTTGCTTGCTTTTGCCACAGTCTTTCATCATCATCATCATCATCATCATCATTATTATTATTATTATTATTATTATTATTAACTGTCTTGGCTTAGCAAGGGAAATTCTGGTCCCAACTGTAGTTCTAAGTTGCGGACTGTCTGTAATGGCATCATTGCTACTACATGAGTGTAGTAAATCTATTGAGAAAAGCAAAGTACAGCATCTGCAACTTGCCATCTTGGCTCAGTTGCCTCTTTCCTTGCCTGCCTCTGCTAAAAAAAACGGCACTGCCGTTCTGCTGTTTATTTCCTTGCTGGTTATTTTGCGGAGAGAAAAGATGAATGTAACAGAGCAGCAGGAGAACACAGGAGAGTACCATTAGACGGTGACATTATCCATTCAGACTGCCATAAAAGTCTGTGAACAGTTTCAGAGGCAGCGAAAGAATCAGCTGGAAGGATCCTGGTTTTTAGGCAGATTCATCACAGGCTTTTTAACCATACAGAAGCAGAAGATTAAATGGCATGGCTGGTTTGAATTTTTCTCTTGTTGAAAGAGAGCAAAGTAAATTTTTTTCTGATGGAATAAGGTTGGGGTAGATGGAATTTCCTGCTGGGCCAATGCAGAGCTGATAGATGATTATTTATGAGAATGCCTTTTCCTTTGGCTGTGCTTTTTTGGTCATACGTTTCCAGAGCTGCATTTCGTAGCATTCTCCACATCCAACATGTAGCACCCCAGGAGTTTTGAAGCATGCCAGCTCTGACTTCAAAAGGCCCAACGGTGATCGGGGATTTTAACTGCTACTGCTTTTGTCTGCGAGATTGCAGCACAACAAAAAAGTTTCTGTTTTAAGACCCTCCGGACCTGAGGGGTAGAGCTTGCCTGTTTTATAACTCTACTTCAGTGGAAAGATTAAGACAGTGGCAGAATTTATTTCCGTGGAAAACAAATACTGTACGCTTCACAGACTGGATTGTATACTTGGAGGTTTAGGTTGCCACACAAGTCTTATGAAAGCTGATTAACTTTGGGAGACTTTGTAAGAATAACTGTTCAAGATAGGAAGTTTTAAATTTGTTTTAATACTACTGGAATACTCAGACCTAAAGAAGAAGAAAATCAAGGTATAATCCTACATGAAAATCCTGTTCTCCCTCCCACACACATTCTGTTTTGAAACTGTTTAAATGCTTTGTATGCTCTGTGTTCTGCCAGAGTAAAAGGGCTTTATCATTGCTTTTATTGGCTTTGGTTTAATGAGTTGTGTGAGCTAAGCCCTCGTCAGATTGAAGTGATTCCTCTAGCAAATGGGATAGCACTTAACTGTAAGACCGCTGCACAGTTCGGTTTCAGCCATTTTGATACCTGCAAATGCTGCTGTCAGTGTAGCTACAGCTAGCTCTCAGCTTATGCCACAACTGGGACCAGGATTTGCACCGCTAAGCGAGGCGGTTGTTCCACGAATGGCATCTGATCTTACGACCTGTTTTTGCCCCAGCTGCTAAACAAAGGACTGCAGTTGTTAATTGAAACATGCGGTCGTTAAGTGAACCCAGCTTCCCCCAAACTGGCTGGGAAGATTGCAAATGACGATCGCCTGATCCCGGGACACGGCAATCAGCGTCAATTCATGATGGCTGCCAGGTGCCCAAATTTTGATCAAATGATTATGGGGATGCTGTGAGGGTTGTAAGTCTGAGGATAACCTTTTTTTACATGCCGTTGTAAATTCCAACAGTTGTTAAACAAATGGGTGTAAGTTTGAGGTGACAAATATCAGGTGACAAATTATTTCTAATACTAGCAGAAGTCTCCACAT